CAGACTTTATCTCTCATAGTTCGGACATATTATCAGGAGGAACCAGTCACTGGAGAAGGATATCATATTTTCGTAAAGTGGAAGGTTGGAGAAAAAGAGAAAGACCCCCAACGAGATGGATTGGCACAGTAGCAACAGCAGTGGGCTAAGGAGTAGCAATGATTGTGAGGTTGGCACCGGACTGGGATGTGTTTTGTTCTGTTGTGCATAGGGTCACTATGACTTGGTACCAACTCGATGGCACCTAACAACAATGAATAAAAAAATGACCATAATTATTAGGCAATTTTAGAGGTAAGCAATGCACAAAAATAAGGAGTAATTTTATTGCTTCAGAAACAAACACCTGGAATGGAATGGGGGAAACAATTTATAGCAACACACTTATAAAATATTTAGAATGAATTTAATAATGACAAAATATTGAAGAAAATGAGAAAATTATTAAGAGAGATAGAGCAAAATGTGAACAAATGAAAAGACATACTCTTCTTGGGGAGTAATTTGAGATCATAAAAACATCAAAGAATGGAAAAAGTTTTGTTAGACTCCCAATGGAATTTTGTATTGATTTTGGAACTAGATAAAACAATCTTACAATTTACATGGAAGAAAAACGACCTATGAGGGGACAAGAACAGTGATGGGAGATTTGCCTTACCAGATATCATAGCACTAAAAAGCCACTGGCTGTATGTCCCTCAGTCGGTTCCTATACCCGTATAACAGAATAGAATGGCTCCACAGGGCTTTATAGGCTGTAATCTTTACCACAATAGATTGCCAAGTGTTTCCTCCTGCGGAGCCACTGGTGGGTTCCAATGCTAACTGCCATTAGTAGCTCTTAACCATTGTGCCAATAGGGCACCTTCAAAAAGCCACTGTTGTTGTTAGGTGTCATCAAGTCAGTTTTGATTCATAACGACCCTGTATAGAGTTTCTGAAGAGCAGCTAGTGAGTTTGAACCACTGATCTGTGGTTCAAACTGACCTTAGGGTCCAGTGCTTTATCCAATACAGCACTACACTGTTGTAAGTGCCATCAAGTTGGTTCCAACTACTAGCCACCCTGTATATGGTTTCCAAGAAGTAGCTAGTGGATTTGAACCACTGGCCTTGTGGTTCAAACTGACCTTGTGGTCCAGTGCTTTATACTACAGTGCCACACAGCCATATAATTATGATGTTGATAGGAGAAATTACAAATAAATCAATGGACCAGACTAAGGAAACTAAAAAATATATAATCTAGTTAAATGACAAA